AGTGTAGGAAGAGCTCTCCAGAAGTCATCTGCACACCCTCCCTCCCCACTTCATGCAGAAAAGAAGTGAATTACCCCATTTCACAGATGGATCAAGTGAGGCTCAGAAAGCTCAAGTGATTTGAGCTTAGTCACACTCAGGCTCCACACTCCACACCAACACGCCTCTGTGATTTCTGAAAGTCAGAGGCTTTCCTGTTGGGTCTTACGTATAGGCTGAATGTAGTTCCTGTTCTGGTTTGTCCAGGTGACGGGAGACAGTCAGAGTCCCCTCTTCAGGTCGTGGTTCACTAACCTCTAGCAAAGAAGGCAGAGACCCCAAAAGCTCTCAACTAAGGCCAGAAAATGAAAGAAAAGCCGTAAGATGTCAATAGAGTAACTTCGAGCAAGAGATTTAGTGCAAGAAGAGAATACCCAATAATTACATTTCAAAGCATGAGCCTGGAAAATGAGATAGGGCAGAGGATGTTAATCACAAACAAATTAATGCAATGGTGTGCAAGGTGTCTGCTTCCTCGAGGCCTCTGAAAGTTACTGAGCTTGATGATTACATGGGTTTACCAGTCATCATTCTACTTAAAGGTCAGAACAATGAATAGATGCCTAGAAATATCTGTCCTTTCCCAAAGCTCCCAGGTACCATGGATTTAATGTTAATGAAAAAAATAGAAGTTGTGGAGATCAACTTGTTTGATACTCATTTTAGAGATGAAAAAATGACAAGGGATAAAGAAATTTACTTGAGATGACAAAATAATTAATAAGCAGGTAGAACCCCCAAGGGATACGTGAAGTCATTTCCCCACTAGAAAAACCCTCACATCATGTCACACTATTTTATGGTATCAGCCAATTTTTTTTTAAAAATGGAAAACTTTGAATAAACATTTCAACAATTACAGTCATATAACAGAAATCTGTTTCCCTAACATAGTAAGATTTCATGGACAAAGGAAAACAGGAAGAGTAGCTTGATATATTTACCATTATTTGATTTTTTTAAAGCAGGGCACACCCAAAAGCAGTTATTTTGACCTACAAGAAATATAGGGGTTGGAGAAAGAAACAGTCTTTCTTTTTTGATTATTACGTTTACTCTGCAGCCATCATTGTTCGGAAGGTATTATCACACAAGCTGGCTCCTAAGAGGAGGTGAACGGCCTGGTGGCTTAAGACATCAATCTCACAGCCCCCATTTTTTGTCAACTCAAGAGTGACAGGTGGCAGTGGGGGAGGGTATAGCTCAGTGGTAGAGCGCGTGCTAGCATGCACGAAGTCCTGGGTTCAATCCCCAGTACTGCCATTAAAAATATATTTTTTAATTTAATATTTAATAATATATATTTGTTATATATATATAAAAAACAAATGAATAAGTAAACCTAATTACTTACCCCTCAAAACAAAAAAAAACACTGTCAAAGAAAATTTTAAATCCTCTTAAAAAAGTGACAGGCAACAAAAGGGCAAGGATTACACCAAAAGGATACAGGAATTAACTGGATTGCAAAGACAGATCATAAGAAATTAAGAAAGAAAGGAAGAGAGAAAGAAACCATTTCACAACTCTTTGCCCACTAATTTCTCAAAGAGCCCTCCCAGACCCTGCCTTCTGCAACACCGCCCCGCAGCCCCGGAGGCTTGCTCTCCCTTTCAATGGCCCCATCTCATACAGTGTTTCTCCTGAGATCCAACAGCAAAGGTGGGAGAGGACTGCCAATTTCTTGTGAATCCTGAACATTTCCTTTATGAGTCATGGGAAACTGAAATAACTCGAAGGGGCGGGGGTGACTAGAAAGAAACACAGTTTTAAATCAGTTCCCACTAATTTGTTCTGCTGTGTGTGGTGTAAGTCCTAAACGTCAGAAAAATTAAGTTTCTAGAGTTGACGCAGAAATGGGAGTTTTTTTGTTAGGTTCTGTCGATTGTCACTGTGGCATTTCTTATTAGAATTTTTCTTACTGTCATTTTTGTTTTGTTAAATTAATTATAGTTTGATCGGTGTAGGAGCTATTTTGAATCCATGGGACTTTCCTCACCAGATTGTTTTGGCATTTTAAAGTCACTCGCATTCACGGCCTAAACAATATGGCAAGTATCTCTTTTTCTCTCTCCTTTATACTCAAATTCTAAACAAAGGAACCATCTGTTCTTTCTCTAAAAACATCAGCCCTTGTTTTCATTTTCCCCTTAATAATAATGCCTCAAACTTATAGCATGTCTTTTTCCAACTTGCTTATTAAAGCATTTTGTAGATACTGCCTCATTCATCTTCAGCATCACCTCCGATAAACTGGGGAGAAAGAGGAAATGTTTGCCAATTTTTAGTTAGATAAGTGACTGTTGGAGGTTTCATGAATTTTGCGTATAAGCCTCAGATGGGACCGTGACCATCACCTGCCCAGCCCTGGCTCTTCCATAGCTACAACGGAGGCCCAGAAAGGAGAAGTCACTTTGTGATCTATTTGTGTACTCGGTCCTCTACCCTTGACTGTAAATAGCCAAGGTAAGAACTGTGTCTCACACATTTTTGTATCTCAGGTAACTGATGTGTAAAACGTGCTCATTTAAATTTTTGTTGAATAAATGAAAATTTTGAGGGTAGTTCTGCAGGTGGTTGCGGCAGAGCAGAGGTCAGAGCTCAGCTCAGCCGCCCTCTTACTTAGTGTTATTTTTAATAATAACATATAGACCTAGATGCAAGAAGAATCAAATAGAGACATCACCAAATAGGGGTTGGTGGGGCAGGGGCATAAGACACAGGTCTGTGTCTAGACGTAAGAAATGGGTTGAACAAATCCAGGACACATCAAGTTTGGCTGCTGGCAATGCTCTAACATAACCTGTGTTCAGGCTGACTCTCCAAACGCTGTGCATTCCTTCTGTGCTCCACATACTTGGGGCTTTGGCGGAACTATTCCTTAAACATGACCCAACTGGAAGAAATGATGTGTCAGTGCCAAAGGACAGCAGGTCTCCGTAACACCCCCAAGCCCAGTGAGAGAGCATCATCCATCCTGAGATGTCCCCTCATCCCTCATGTAACCCGAGAGCACTCAGTCTTGGCGTCACGAAATCCACCAGCCCAGAGTTTTCCAATGAGCAGAGAGGTCACTGAAATAAAATCCTTTTTTCCATGTGCCTTGCTGGAAATCAGCAACTCATTTGGCACATTTTTCTTATTTTCAGAACGCCCTATTCCCCACTGCTACTCCTTGAAGCTAAAGAAAAATAGTTTCGAACAAAGCAAGTAAAATGTGGGATTCTCTCATCCGAATTGCTTCTATACTAGTAGTTCTATGAAATCAACAACTCCCTAAAGAGTCCTCAAAAGCAGATTGTCTATAGAAAGCTGGAGGTCCAAGGAGAGGAGGAAAAATACTTCTTTTTACGTAAAACAAAAAAGAAAAACCACAGAGCCAAAGAGAAATCAAGTCAATTATAATGTGGTCTCACAAAGTGAATTCGTTTGAGACATCAACAGGAAACAAATGAGTGACAAAATACAAACAAATCAACATAAAAGAACCTCCAAATAACTCGGATGATTTTTTTTCTCAACGGGAGATGTGGATACGCGTGGTGGGGGGCGCAGGGGGGAGGGGAGAAAGACACGGGAATACGGACGGAGCCACTTCGGCCCCTAACATACTTCGTGTGAACGGGCCCAGAGGCTGCTGGAGGTGTCCAGATTGTCCAGCGCACAGTGGGAAGCATTTACATCAAGCCACGCAGTATCAGCAGGAGAAAAAGGCAGCGAGTACTCCGGGGCGGGCAGCTGCAGAGAGGGCCCCTGCACGGAGCAGACACAGCAGGCTGAATGCACGCTCTATCAATAGTCCTGCCCTTGCGCACCACGCTGGGCTCCTAGGGGCCTTCGGGGTCAAGGCTATCTCCAGAACCATTCATCATTCCTGCAGCCACCATCCGTTCACCCTCTCTCAACACATTCTGACAGGTCTGCCCTTTACATACACACGGACCTTCCTGCTCTCCGGCTACCTCCAAAAACATCGACTTGGATTTTGCATACATCCCCCATAATCCAGTATTCAAGGGTTTAACATTTAAAAGTGAAAGGGTCCTATACTAAGGCACAATTAAAAACATCCTCAAGACATTACTTAACTGGCCTTCACCTCCAAACCTAGCTTTTTCAGAGGATCATTTGGAAGCTGGCCATTGGGGAGGTCAGTTAAGCGTTCATCTGATATCTGAGTAGCTGTTTGTCGCGTCTGCAAGAACAGAGAAGACCTGTCCTTGGAACTCTCACAGCCCTTGACAATCTTCTCCTGCCAAAACCACGTCTGAGAAGGCAGATGCTTCCTCTCACGTAAGCAGCCCTACTGGCTAACTAGTCAATATGATTTGATAGTAATGATTGGTACTTCTTCAAATAAAAGTTTTGGGTGGGGATACAGCTCAGTGGTAGAGCGCATGCTTGGTGTGCACGAGGTCCTGGGTTCCATCGCCAGTGCCTCTGTTAAGGGGGAAAAAAACAATTCAAATAAAAGTTTCTATCAAAGAGTGTTGCTGGCTTAACACTCTAAGTACTCAGTTAAAGGTGGATGATTGAGGCCAATGCTCTCAACCACTCTGGACATCAGTTTCCTTTTCTACAAAATAAAGCAGTCCAATTCAATAAGCTTTAGGCTTCCTTCTGACTCAGACACCCTGCGCCTAATTATTTAGTTCCTACTGCCAAGTGGGCTGCCCTCTGCCTCTTAGTTTGGTCATCTCCATCCTCTCTCTCTCTGACACACACACACACACACACACACACACACTCTCTCTCTCTCTCTCTCTCTCTCTCTCTCTCTCTCACCCCAATATCCCTCCTATCCAAGCCACAACCTTGTTATTTAGACAAGCTTCAAGCAATTCCTACCCACATTCTCCATCACTGCTTCTCTGCTCAAGATTTGGTACCAAGAGGAATTTTTAACTAGTTTATGAGCAAAAAAATAGGACATATGGCCACCATTCACACACAGACCTCACCTTGAGATGAGATCCTCTGTGGGCTCCAGCAGTCTCTTCAGCCCCCCACAGAGAGGCAGTCACCTCCAGCTGGCCAATCCAATCTCCGTCTCTTACTCTCTGACACCTTGAACAAGTCATGTTATCTCTCCGGGCCTCAGTTTCCCTAACTGTAAAGTGAGGCATTCAAGATACAATAAATACCAAAATATCTACCAATTCTGTTATCCTACTCTAGAGGTCTGAAATGTCATTAGACATCAAAGCAGACACCCTCCAAAGTCCTCCCTCTGGTACTGGTGTCTACCTACAGGCCCCCAGATAGATGGAGGTGACTGTTTGCATGATCTTGCACAATAAGTAATATTAGCTCATGGATGGGGGCAAATACTTCTAATTTGTGTTTGTTTATTTGTTTATTTCCAGGCTAAAGAAGTTGTAGGCACCACCTGCCAAGCGCCTTTGGAGATTCCATAATGACTTTTTTTTTTTTTAAACAATGGGCCAGAAGTTCAGAAACTAAAAAGGTGAAATTTGTAACCACACAGTAAAAATACGGAGACTGAAATATTGAGAAAATGATTTAGGGTAAAGAATGCCACATGCCTCTTGAAAAAATTTTTTTAATTTGTATACAATGCTATTAAGAAGGAACCATAAAATAAAAATAAACGTGAGCGCAGAAAGGACTGATTTGCCTAGGACCCCCTTCAGCCAGGTCATCAGCACGGACAGCAGAGCCCGTGGTATACTCGTGTTTCTATTTGTTGCCCTCAGCTGACATGGTTGGTCGTTTGTTTTGTTTTAAATAAAATGGGGAAGCAACAAATATATTAAATCCATCTGCAAAAAACCCCTATTTGCATGTGGAAAACAAATAAGTGGGTGCCTGAATGGGTGATTAGGCATGCAATTGCCCATCTGCACCCAGGGCCCCAGCCTCCCTGCAGGTGCGCCAGACACAGGAGCAGAGACTCGGAAAGGAGGGTCCTCCGCCAGGGAGGGTGATAGCCAGGAGGGAAACCAGTATCGTCACAGCTGGCCTTGTCCTGAGCTGCCCCCTGGCACTAGCCCAGCTCTGCATCCACTGCCCCTGTATCTTGAAGCTGAGAACCAGAAATAACTTTTGTCTTAGATTTCTGTGGATTCTTTAAATTACAAAGGCAAGTTTTCTGCTGAGTACCTTCACTGTGTGCTTAACAAACATTTGTTCTTGCAGCTATTTTGATGACAATGGGTGACCTTTTCTGCGCTCTCCCCCAACAGCCACTCCACTCCAGCCACACTGGGCTCCTCACTTGTCTGGAATGTGTCAGGCATGCATGGTTCAGCCTCAGGGCCTTTGGAGTTGCTTTCTTTCTGTCTGAAACACCCTTCCTCCCTTCGTCTCCACCTTACTGCTGCCTCATTGCATTCAGCTCCCTGCTCCTGGGTACTCTTATCAGTAAGACCTTCTCGGACCAATGAATTTTAAATCTTGGTCCTCCCCTCCGCCATACCTCAGTACCTTAACCTGCTTTAATTTTCTTCTGAAAAGAGATCACAACCTAAATATTGTATTATTTACTCACTGATTTGTGTGTTGTCTGCCTCCAACAAATAGGTTTGTCTGATTTTGTTCACAGTTCTATTCCCTGCACCTGGAATAGTGTTGAGCACATAGTAGGTGCTTAATACACAGTTGTTATGCTAATGAGTCATCATCATTATTTGCAAACCACTTCACTGGGCTCCACAGGTCCTCTTTGTAGAATAAGACAGGACTTATGCTCTTAAGAAGCTTCTATGAACTGAACTAGTAGAGAAGGAAGACTGGAAATCTGCTTACATAGCAAAGTGGCCTGAATGCTCTACTGGAGGTATAAACAAAGCACTCTGATAGTACAGAAAAAGTAAACTATTGACATTGGACAGAGGAGTCGGCGGGGAGCAGATTGAAGGAGGCCAATAGAACAGAATTCTCTGCAACTATCAGGAAAAGAAGCACAAAAATCATCCTCAAAAATACATGCAGTACAAGCATGTACTGAGCCATCCTCAATTAGCCTCCTTCCTTCATCAATCATGCTAAGTGAAACAAAAGATGGCCCGAAATTAAGTCAGCATTTCTGTGTGCCAAGACCATGGAGAACGGAAGAATCGCTTTCCTCCACAAAGCCTTCTCTTTAAAATGGAAATTATTTAATTTGCACACGAACTGTGTCTTCAGAAAATTCCAGGCTCTCAGGACAGAGAGAATCTTACAGGGCATCCCATCCATCTTCTGATGGTGAGGACCCATCAGTACCAGCCTCCACCTGATACTCCCAGTGATGGGGAACTACTAACCCCAGAAAAGGCCCATGGCACTGTGGTCTGCTCTTTTAATATTAAAAAGTTCTTCCTCACACTGTTCTTCTGTTGCTTCCACCCACTGCTCCCAGAACTTCTTGTGGGGTCACCAAGAGCGAGTTCGTGTCCTCTTCCATGGCAGAGTCCTGCTCTGCTCCCTCCTCCATCCCCCTTCTCTGTTCTTCACACTAACCACTTCCAGTTCCTTCTTTCACCCCTCAGAGGCTCTGGTTTCTGGTGTCATCAGCCATCCTAAACTTCCCCCCTTCCCTTCCCTCCTCCCTCTCTCTCTCACACTGTTCCAGGCCCTTTTATGGAGCTGACCTAGTGTTCAAGAAATTTAGCATTCTGCAGAGGGCTGAGCATTTGGTCTAGGGTAGGGGAGAGGGGGACAGAGGATCCTAAGGAACTTGGGTTAACCCTGGGAGCCCTGACCCAGGGGGACCCTGGCAGAGTAACCGAACTTTCTGACCTTGTCCTCCGAATGCCATCTTTGACACCGATTAGAATCATGCAGACATTATAATTCTTTGGAAGCAAAGAAGGTGAAGAATCTTTCTTGACCCTACACCACCCCAAGGACACACAGAATCTGGGGGGTCTTGAGTCTCCAATAAACCATGGCCCCTCTCATCCTGTTGATCCCAGCTTCTCAACTCCCATGGGCAGCCTGCGTGAATACAAGATGAGATTGAATAGGTGGTTTTCAAGCATCTCTAGACCTGAGAACTGGGTTCTCGCCACTACTCACCTGTGTGACTTTGGGCAAGACACTTGAAGTCCACAAATCAAAGCATCTCAGAAGGTAAAACAACAAGAGATTTCTAAATCATCCAGTCCAAAAATTGCACAGGGACTTCTTGTATACCTCTACCCTCCCTCCCCTTGCCACAGCCACAGCAGATACTGCTAAAGTATCACAAAACTCCTTCCTTCTCAGTCAGATGCAGCTTCAGGACCCTTCTCAATACCGCTCCTCAAGGAGCCACTACCAATCCACCATGTGGCCACAGGAAACAAAATCCAAACTCCTCATTCTTTAGATGAGGAAAACTGAAGCTCAGAGACTGTCACGACCTCCCCAGGTCTCATTGTTAGAAGCAGAACCAGAACTACAAAGGCCCCTTCCCCCACATCCCGAGTCCCTTCGCCTTTTCTGATACTCTGTCAGCGTTCCTTACAAGGGGAGTGGGGAGCTTGCTGTATTAAGTTCTCTAAGGATTGCAGATAAAGGGTTTCTAAGTAAGAGGCAGAAGCTTCAGGGAAGGCCTGGAGGAAAAGGCGCATTCAAGCTGGCCTGAAGAAGTCTGCTCTCTGTGGGAACCAGTGTGCTAGGTCTGCCTTTAGCAGAAGAAAATTCAGCACTGGGGAAGCATTTCCTGGAGCAGGAGGAGAATAAGCAAAGGAAGAGTGAGGCCCGTGGTGTGCAGAGAGGAGCCCGTGGGCTCTTGAGCAGAGCAGGGGCCGAAAGCCAGGGAGAGCAGTGGGGCGAGGATGATGACAAGACAAGACTACAAGAGTCAACCAAGAGACTCTGCGGTGTTTTAAAAGCTGACTTTTTTAATTGACTTGAAGGCCTTACGATTCACAAATGGGAAGAGGATAAGAAAGGAGTGAAGAGAAAGAAAAGAATTTATCTCCATTCTCAATGGGGGGAGAAAAAAAGCCTTGGTCTAAACTGTATTACAGGAACACTTTCATTATGTAAAAGCCTATTCTGTTTTCATGTCATTCTTAGATTACATCATGGGATGGCTGCAGCCGTCTCGTACCATATTATAAATAAATCACCAGCTTAATCATAGAATGAGCCAGGGCCCTAGATTTACAAGGAAAATATTAGATCATTTTTAATAACTGATATAACTCAAGCCAGTCACCACTGAAGCAGGGGGAGGTGATGTCATCCTAAAGGAGTCCAAAGAGGAACCAGGGAGGGTCGGGCCTGGGCAGCCCCAGAGCAGCTTCCATTTACAAATGAAGAGGTGGCTGATGGCGGCCAGGTGGGGCTCAGCCTCTGGACCAGACAGACTCGTCAATGAAAACCAACACTCACTTTCCAATAGACCTTCCTCATGAAACACAGGGTATGAATATTGTGTTCCCAGAACGACTGTTTATAATACCAGAAAACATCACCATATTATGATGTCTGTGTTTATTTCCTGGGAGCCATCGAGCAAAATTATAAATGTTAAGGCTTCTACTTATTCAGGAAAAGATGAAATCAGGGGTGACAGAGGCAAATGCTGCAAGGCTGGTCCAAGCTGAGGGGACAGTGCAAAGTGGGGACATTGAGATAACGGCCCGACAAAGACAAGAACCGAGGGTGGTTTCTAGCAGCTACAGACTGTTAAGGAGGTTGGAAACCAACGTTTAATTGGCACCAACTCTGCACTAAGTACCACACGCAACTGGCACTTTATATTATGCTGCTTTGTGAGCACAAAAGAGTCTCTGAGGTAGGCGCTCCTTGCACCATTTTTTTCAGATATGGAAACCAGTTTTAAAAATGATTCAGTGACTTAAGACAGATTCGCAGCTAATATATGAGTCTTCCTACTCCGAATTCCGCTTGACCTCATTGCCTTCACCCAATGAAAAGTTATTTCCTACTATGGACTTCTAATAGAAGTTAAATAATGGATAAGAAACACTTTAAAAGCACCAAAAGTATTTAAAAAAGAAAAAATAACGGAAAGCCAAAAGGGGCCAAGGAGGGGAGTAGGATTAACACTCTGGCCGGTGACAGTCTCAGTGACCACAGCTGGCTTTCCTTATTTTGTCTGCAGGGCTCCTAATGAGCTTGACCATCATTTTAAGTCTCCCATTTCCATTAATTTTTTAAGACTGTGAAGGTGGGCTCTAAGGGAACCTGTCATCTTCTATAAAATGTACTGCCGAGCTTGGTTTTAGAAAAAGACTATTTTGGTGGGGGGAGGAGACGGATGCTCTGGAAAAGGGCTTTCTGCCAGACAGAAAGTATTGGCTGAGGTTCTCTGTCTGATCCT